TTACAGAGAACATCTTGAAAAATATGAAGAACAAAATACAGATTTCCATTTATTAATGACACTTCTGCATTCATCTTATTTGGAGGAACTAGAACCACAAACACTGTTGTCTGCCATTGTAAAATAATATTCCCTGACGCTCCTCCCCAATGTGTAAGATGCGTCAAAAGTGGACCAATAACAAGCAAGCATTCAAGATGGACGTTTTCCAGAACAAATTGGAACATTTTTCATCGGTGCTGTCAAAATCATCATAGTCATTGATTAAATTCTGACACTATCCATTCACAAAAACATAAAACATCCTTCGGGGCCCCTGAAATGCCGGGGCCCCGGGCTGCAGCCCCTGTAAGCCCCTGCTAAAATCCGGCCCAGGTTGTCAGTTATAATCATCAACATTAAAAGAAATAAGCATTTGAAATATATCAGTCTGTGTGTAATGAATGAATATAATATACAAGTTTCACTATTTGAATGGAATTACTGAAATAAATCAACTTTTTCATGTTTTTCTAATTTTATGACCAGCACCTGTATATTTATAGAAATTTGCATTATTAATGCTCCAACAATACAATATTATTCAAACATAATGGGCTTACCTTAAGATTATTTTTATGAAGATTACAGTCTTGCGCCATTCATTATGTTATTATATTTTGTTTTATTTTAAAGGAGGCAAACTTTGGGAGTTTTTCAGATTTTTCTAAAAATTTCAAAAGTTTTTCTTTGGACTTTGGTTGATTTTCCACTCATTTTCAGAGGAATGGTTTGACTTTACTCTGACTGATAAATCACTCAGACATAAAACAGCTCCTGAACTCAAGTGATGATCAACAATCATTGATTGTTTCAGACTCATTTGTTTCTGGTTATATTCCCAAGCCTTTTTATTTTAAATGTAATCTTTGTTCATCAGACTCCAATTTATTTGAAAAACAAAGTTATTTGTTAATCAGCTTTATAGCTAAACCTTTAGAATTCCTCGTTCATTTTCCAAGCAGACACTGGGGGAAATTGTAGAATTATTGAAGAAACTTGTCCAGCAGATGTCACATGCTGCTGTTTCACATGATAAGTAGTTTATAAGCTGAAAGCCTGACTAAAATGGAAGAAGTGATGTTTTTTATGTTTCTCCTCCTCCAGATGAATTGGGCTGCTGGTGTTCAGTGTGTAACCAAGTGCGACAACAGAAAACCTAAACCTGGAGAGTTGGCATACCGCAAAGGACATGTTCTCACTATTATTGATACAAGCACGGTATTTTAACTGTACTTTTTATTTCTTTACAAAGTGTTACAGCACTATAGAGCCAGGTGTTCAAAATCTCTAACAAAGATATAATTTTAAAATAAACTTTTTCTTTAGAGGAAGGGATATTACAAGGCCAGACACAACACCACAGGAGAAGAGGGCTTCATAAACTCCAACAATGTGCGTGAGAGAGAGGCGCTCCGTGTCGACCACAGCCTCAGCTTCATGCCGTAAGCCTCCTCCATCCTTTTCTCAAAGCACCGTTATTATCTGTTAGGACTTGGTCGTGTTTGAACCCAGGTCACATGCACCGTGACTGAGTCGTGGAGCATCCCCTGCTGCTGCGGTCAACCTTTGTAACTTGTGACCAAACTGCTTGGGCTCATACTTGTGTTATAAACGCTGTCGATTGTTCACTCTAACCTTTTTGGAGACCAGATGTGGAGCAGTTTCATCATGTGTTCACTCCTGATGGAGTAGCTTCATTTAGATACACAAATATGTAACGTCAGCTCGTCTTGAGTGAGTAAACGGGTGTTCCTGCTTAGTTATGTCTTCTACAACCTCATACCACTTCATATCTTTGTGGGAGAGTTGTTTGGATTTAAAAGGGTTCATACTTGGACCATTTATCGGTTATTAGTTGCATTATGTGTCAGCTTATATTTGAGGAACACTTTATCTGTCATAAAAGGCAGGAGATCATGTAATAGCACAGGTCTGTGTGTGTTTGTCTACTAGAAAAACATTTCATAAACCATTAAACAGGTTTTACCTTATTTTTCAGACTATAAGGCGCAATTAAAAATCCTTTAATTTTCTCAGAAATCGACACTGAGCCTTATAATCCGGTACGCCTTATGTATTAATTCTGGTTGTGCTTACTGACCTCGAACCGATTTTATTTTATACAACTGAACAATGTTGAGAGTTATTGTGAACGAGTTGAATAAAGTTTGACTTCTCTGACTGTTTTGTTTCGCTTAATGCGCCTTATGTAAGAAAACAGACCCGTTCATTGATGTTGTGCCTTATAGTCTGAAAACCACGGTAATAAAACTTTGAAAGTAATCATTAGATGCACATCTACAACTAATTACCAGCTAACTGACCTTGGCAAACGCAAAATGTCTATACCTCAGGCAGTTTGACAGATGTTGAAGTACAATCTGATGTGGTAGTAGCTGAGAGGCATCTTCAACACATCCTCCGAGTCCCATCAGATCATGAGAGATCTGTTATTTAAAACTCTGGCACACAAAGAGGGGATGATCTGCACTCCTTCAAGGAATACTATGTTAATACTGTCCTGCTTTAGACTGCTTCATCACTTTTCAGGTTTTTCTGCCTTAAATACGTTTTCTTTTTGTCTCTTAAGATACGAGGTGCTGAATGGTCACTGTAAATTACTGTGCAAGTTCTTCTTCTTTTAAAGTCTGGAACAGCATAATGAATATCGCTGTGTATCATCTTTTAATTTGAAAAACTATTTCCTCTTATCTGCTTTATTTCGCATTTACTTGTTTATTTTTTTGCCTTCTCTTTGATTGGCTTCCTGAGTTCATGTCATGTTGTGATGTGTTTCACCAGCTGGTTTCATGGGAAGATCTCCGGCCCAGAGGCGGTGAGTAAGCTCCAACCGGCTGAAGATGGCCTGTTCCTGGTGCGAGAGAGTATCCGCCATCCGGGTGACTACGTCCTGTGTGTCAGCTTCTCTGGAGAGGTCTTTCATTACCGCGTGATCTACCAGGACAACAAGCTGACCATCGACTACAAACAGTTTTTCTACAACCTCATCGATATGATTGAGGTGAGAGGCGTAACTGGAAACATCACTTTTACAGATTAAATTGAGCTCAGTGTTTAACCAAACCACACTGTTCACCACTTTCACCAGTATACTGATTAATGAGGTGTAGAGTGTTTCAGAAGTCTGTCTTCAGAAATAATTTTGTATTATTATTATTTTTTAAAGCACAGCGATGCCACTTGGATTGGTGATGTGTGACTTGTCTGTGCTGCTGAATGTCCACGCTGCTGATCTCATGCTGCTGATTATCTCATGCTGCTGTATTCATTTATGCTCATCTGCTCACACAGACTCATGTTGGGGTTGCTGCTGTTACACCGTACTGTTTTACATTATTTGTGTTTAGCATGTATCTTAGATTTTTAGCGTACCATTTGGCGTCCGTTTAGCGTATATATTAGTGTACGTCTTGGATCCTTCTATACTGTTTCTTTATACGCTTTATATTTATTCCTATTTATACACTATAGTTTTCTGTTTATACACTTTATATTTTTGCTATTGCTGGGTGTAACTGGGACCCTGAGTACATAATTTTGTTCCACCTCATGTACCACGTGATGCGAATGACAATAAAATTGACTTGAACTTGAACCACAGACCCTTTCCAAAAAAAAAATTAGAATATCATGGAAAAGTTGTTTAACTTCCATAATTCCATTCAAAAAGTTCATCTTTAATAGATGATAGATACAGGGCCCACAATTTAAATGATTTCAAGTATTTATTTGTTTATTTTTACATTATTTGGACTTCCATCTCATGAAACCCATGGAAACAGGAATTCAAAAAATTAGAATACTGTGGAGAAATCAGTCCAAATGTTGCAGGACATGAATGTTTTAAACCGAATGTGACACTGATCATCTACTAAACTCAAAGCACCTGCACAGGTTTCCCCAGGTGTCATTAAATGGCTTCAGTTTGGTTCAATTGTCTCAGTTGACTAGCAAGCTGACTGGACACGCTCACGGGACGGCCCGACTGTGTTCGCTTGATTTGCTGCTGGGAGACAATAGTCTTGGGCGGTTGGCATAAAACTGGTTTGTGACTGGACTGCTATGACGTCTCAAGGTGAGAGTGAAGGGGATGATGAGATGGAGTTAGGTGAGTGGACACAGGTGCGTGGAGGTAAAGTGTCAGGAAGAGAGAGAAATAGAAAGGAAGACACTTTGCAAAGTAATAAAAGGAGTCTAGAAGAAAACAGTTCAGAGGAAAACAATGTGGTTAGTAAGAGGGTTGTTAGGGAAGAATCCAAATTGATCATAAAGTTTAGAAAGGAGGATGAAGGAATTCAATTAAGTCCGTTAGTGCTGTCAAAAGAATTAAAGAGGAAGTTTGGAGAGCTGACACTTGCTAAAACTCTTAGAGACGGGAACCTGTTGTTAACAGTGAGAAACGAAGAGCAGAAAAACAAAGTAATGAAAACTCAGAGTATCTGTAAAAAAGTAGTGAGTGAAATCAAGATTTTGGGAGAGACTAAGGTAGCTAGAGGAGTGATCACAGGTATTCCGGTGGGAGAAGATCTGGAGAAATTTAGACACAGCATTTATGGAGGTGAAGTCAGCAAAATTAGAAGATTGATGAGAACTGTTGAAGGTGAAAGAAAGGAAAGTCTGTCAGTGATGTTGGAGTTTCAAGCAGCTGTTCTCCCTGAAAGGATCAAAGTAGGATGTATGTGCTTCCCTGTTAGGCCGTACATCCCTCCTCCTCTCAGGTGTTATAAATGCCAGAGGTACGGACATATCGCAGCAGCATGTAGGGGAAAACAAAGATGTCCAAAGTGTGGAGGGGAACATAGATATGAGGAGTGTAAAAATGGAAAGGATACTTGTTGTAACTGTGGAGGACAACACAGAGTCACTTATGGAGGCTGTGAAATCAGGAAAAGAGCAGTGGAAATCGAACAAGTCAAAGTCACTAATAATATAAGTTATGCAGAAGCTGTTCAGAGAGTGAAGAAGCCAAAAGAGGTGCCAGGTAAAGTTCAGCCAAAACCAACACCAGAACAAAGGCAGACTGGACCTGACACAGAACTAACAGTAGAAAAGATCATGTTGTTCATTGCATATGTTATTAATTGTACAGAGCAAGTAAAACATAAAACAGAAAAAATCAAAATAATTGTGAAAGGGGCAGAGAGGTTTTTTGGTATAAAGGATATATCCTGGGAGCACATAAATAAGAGACTGGGAGCAGAAGGGAAGACAGGAGAACCAGAAGACAGAACAAACTGATCATCTTACAGTGGAACGCTAGAAGTCTAATATCAAATGGGCAGGAGTTTAAAGGATTTATCAAAGAATTCAAAGAAGATATAGATATTATATGCATTCAGGAAACTTGGCTTAAACCAAACCTTGATTTTGTTATAAATGGATATGAAAACATTAGAAGAGACAGAGAGGGAGGATCTGGAGGTGGATGTATAACATTCATTAAACAGGGGATTCAATTTAGAGTTTTAGCTAAAGGAAGAGAGTTAGAATATATTGTTATTGAAATCTGGACAATAAATGGACAATTTAAAATAATAAATTTTTATAATCCATGTAAAAAACTTACATTAGACTTAATGGAGGAACTTGGGACATATTTAGAGGGTAAGGTGATTTGGTGTGGGGACTTTAATGGGCATAACTCATTATGGAGTAATCATAATGATCAAAATGGAGCTATAATAGAAGAAATAATGGATGCTACAAACTTGGTATGTTTGAATGATGGGAGTGGAACGAGAATTAATTTTAGAGATAATACAATGTCAGCAATTGATTTAACATTAGTTTCAGATTCTCTAGCAGGTATTTGTTTATGGCAAGTAATCAATAAAACAACTATAGGAAGTGATCATCACCCTATCATGACTGAAATAAAGTTACAAATAGAAAAATATTGTATAAATGGGATGGAAAAATGGTGTTTTAGATCTGCAGATTGGAAAACTTATCAGAATAGTAGTGAAATAAAAATGCAAAATGTAGATATAAGTGGTAGTATTGACAACTTTAATTCTTCTGTATGTAATGCTATCCTTGAAGCAGCCAATCAGGCTATAAGGAAGAAAGGAGGGAAAAGGGAAAGAAAGTTGGTACCCTGGTGGACAACAGAATGTACTAAAGCAATTAAGAACCGAAATAAAGCTTTCAAATTATTAAAAAGAAATCATAACTTTCAGAATCTGAATGAGTACAAGAAACTGCAAGCAAATGTAAGAAGAACTATTAAAACTGCAAAGAGAGATTATTGGAGAAGTTTTTGTAATTCAGTAGGGAGGGAGACGGACATTTCTAAGGTATGGACAATGATCAAAAGGATGAATGGGATTAAAAGAGTGAATGGATACCCAATACTAAATGATGGAGAGTTAACAGCAGTGAAAGACAGAGAAAAGGCAGAAATGTTGGTAAATACGTTCGTTAAAATTCATAGTTCTGAAAATATTAGTGAAGAAGGGAAAAAAGAAAGAGAAAATACAATTTTAGAAAACAAAGAGGTATTGGAGCAAATAGAAAACACAAATGATTCACTGAACATGCTGTTTACAATAACAGAGCTGAACAGGGCACTTAAAAAATATAAATTGTCAGCTCCAGGAAAAGATCAGGTTTGTTACGCGATGCTAAGTAATTTAAGTAGATCATCTAAAAATATTCTATTAGAATTATATAACAGAGTATGGGAGGATGGGGAAATTCCAAAAAGTTGGAAGGAAGCAGTGATTGTACCAATTAGAAAACCAGGGAAAGATGAGTCAAAACCAGAAAATTATAGACCTATAGCATTAACATCCAATATATGTAAAATAATGGAGAAAATGATAAATGAAAGATTAATATACTATATGGAAAATAAAGGACTTATGTCAAAGTATCAGAGTGGTTTTAGGAGAGGGAGAAGTACAATGGACCCAGTTTTATGTTTAGAGCATGAAATTAGAAAGGCTCAAGTGAATAAAGAGAGTGTTGTGGCAGTATTTTTTGATATAGAGCGAGCGTATGATATGATGTGGAGGGAAGGATTATTAATCAAAATTAGAAGAATGGGTATAAATGGTCATATGTTTAGATGGATTAAGACTTTTTTAGAAGGAAGACAAATACAAGTGAGAATAGGGAAGGATTATTCTGAGAGTTGTAATATAGAAAATGGGACACCACAGGGTAGTATAGTCAGTCCATTATTATTTTCAGTGATAGTTAATGATATGTATAAGGAAGTAGAGGGTGGAATGGGATTTTCACTTTTTGCTGATGATGGGGCAATGTGGAAAAGAGGAAGAAATCTAGAATTTATTATAAAGAAACTTCAGGGAGCAATTTCAGTTGTAGAAAAATGGTCGTATAAATGGGGAATAAAATTTTCTGTAGATAAAACTAAAATAATGTTTTTTACAAGGAAAAGAGTTGATGAGAAATTCAAGCTAAAATTATATGGTCAAGAGTTGGAAAGAGTTAAAGAATTTAAATTTCTCGGGTTGTGGTTTGATGAAAGAATGACATGGGGTATACACATTAAGAAAATAATAGATAAATGTAGGAAAGTGTTAAATATAATGAGGTGTTTAGCTGGAACTGAGTGGGGAGCTGATAGAAATTCATTGACAGCCATTTATACTGGATTAATTAGGTCAGTCTTGGACTATGGGTGCATATGTTACAACTCAGCAGCAGATACAAACCTCAATAAGTTAAATAATATCCAATACCAGGCACTAAGAATATGTACAGGTGCTTTTAAAACGTCTTCAACAGCAGCATTACAGGTTGAAATGGGAGAAATGCCTCTTAAATTTAGAAGGGAACAGCTATCTTTGAACTACTGGACAAATTTACAAGGACAAAGAAATGATCATCCAACATTAGAGGTGCTTAAATCAGGTTGGGAAAAGGAAAAAATCAAAAGCTTTGGGTGGATGATAAAAGCCAAAATTAATGAAATCCATTTAGATCAACTAAATATATGTCAGAAAGTTCCATTACCAACAACACCACCTTGGATACTCCCTGATGCTATAGTAGATTTTTCATTATTAGAAAAGAAAAACAAGAATAAATCTTTTATTATGGATAAATATACAGTACAGGAATACATTAACCAGTATTATAATTATGTACATATATACACAGACGCATCAAAAAATACAACTAATAAAATTGGGATAGCATTCATAGTACCACAATTTCATATTAAAGTAGGAAAAAGGGTTAGTGATGGAGTATCGGTTTATACAGGAGAAATGCTCGCTTTACTTTTAGCAGTTCAGTGGGTAGAAGAGGTAAGACCATTAAAATCAATCATCTGCTCAGATTCTAGTTCATCATTGTCCAGTTTGCAACACAACCAGTCAGATAGTAGACCAGATATATTAATTGAAATACAACAAACACTCTATAGGATCAACATGATGGGGATTACAGTAAATTTTATATGGGTTCCAGCTCATCACGGGGTTTTGGGGAATGAAAAGGCAGACAGGATGGCTAAGGAGAGCACTGGTCGGGACGTGGTTGATATTAATGTTGGGTTTAGTATAACAGAAATAAAGGGTATAATAAAACAAAAAATGAAAGAAAAGTGGCAAAAATTATGGGAGGAAGAAAGGAAAGGCCGGTGGTTTTATAAAATCCAAAGGAAAATTGGAGAAAGGAGAAGAACTGAAAGAAACAGGAGAGAAGAAACGATTATTTCACGACTCAGAATTGGGCATACTGGACTGAACAGCACGTTATGTTTAATAGGGAAACATCAAACAGGGACATGTGAGTGTGGAGAAGAGGAAACCATAGAACACATTATATTGCATTGCAGGAGATACCAGGTTCAAAGAAACAAGTTGATTAGACATCTTAGTAAAATGAAAATGAAATTAGACATTATTGATTTATTGCAGAAAGATTCAGGAAACAGAGGCTATCAAGCTATATTTTATTATTTAAAACGGTGTAGGTTGTATGATAAGATCTAAAAGGAAAGAGAGGGTTTAGTATTATTATTATTATTATTATTATTATTTATTTTTTGTCATGCGGTCCACACTCCTTACCAGTTGGTGGCGGTAATGCTTCCTTCAGTTGTTTGCCAACCGCCAATAAAACAAGAAGAAGAAGAAGAAGAAGAATTGTCTCAGTTCGGTTCAATATGGGGAAGACTGCAGACATAACAACTGTCCAGAAGACCATCATTGATGCCCTCCATAGGATGGGTAAGCCACAAAAGTTCATAGCTAAGGAGGCTGGCTGTTCACAGAGTGCTGTGTCCAAGCATATCAATGGAAAGTCTAGTGGAAGGGCAAAATGTGGCTGGAGAAGATGCACCAGCAAAAGAGATGACCGTGGGCTTCAGCGTATCATCAAACAGAGAAGATTCCAGAATCTGGCAGAGATCCAGAAAGAGTGGAATGAGGCGAGAGTCACAGCTTCAAAAACCACATTCAGACGCATCCGGGCGATGGACTACAACTGTTGGGTTCCTCTGTCCTCTTTTCCGATGAAAGTAAAGTTTGCCTTTCATTTGGAAATCAAGGTCCAAGGTTTTGGAGGAAGAAGGGTGAGGAACAGAGCCCATACTGCTTGAGGTCCAGTGTGAAATATCCACAGTCAGTCATGATTTGGGTTCAATGCCCGGTGCAGGTGTTTGTAAACTGTTTTTTTTTTTTTTTTTAATCCAAGGTCACCTCAACAGTCTACTAGAATATTTTAGAGGACTTCATGATTCCTTCTGCTGAGGATCTGTATGGAGATGCAGATTTCATCTTCCAGCAGGACCTGGCCCCTGCCCATGCCGCCAGAAGCACCAAAACCTGGTTTGATGCCCATGCCACAGTACTTGACTGGCCAGCCAACTCGCCGGACCTAAACCCCGTTGAGAATCTATGGGGTATTCACAATAGAAGAGGAAACTGAGGGGCACCAGACCCAACAACAAAGAAGAGCTGACAACAAGCATCAAGAAAATCTGGGCTTCCAGAACTCCCAGTCAATGCCACAGGCTGATTGACTCAATGCCACGTCACATCGAGGCAGTGATTAAGGCAAAGGGATTCCTAAGCAAGTATTGAAGATTGACATATAGTTTTGAAAGTACCATATTTTAATTGATTAGTTGTGATCCTCATTTTTTATTTTTTCTGCAAAAACTGAGAAGTAGTGTGGGCTGATTTCTTCACAGTATTCTATTTTTATGAAATCCTGTTTTCGTGGGTTTCATGAGCTGGAAGCCCAAATTATGTAAAAATAAACAAATACTTGAAATCATTTAAATTGTGGGTCCTGAATCTATCATCTATTAAAGAGTAACTTTTTGAATGGAATTATGGAAGTCAAGCAACTTTTCCATGATATTCAAATTTTTTGGGAAGGGTCTGTATATCCCTAACCCTCCTGCTGTCTTTGGGTCAAAATAACTCCTGAGGCCAGTTTTGCTACTTTTAGATTTTTAGCAATTTTTTTTTTATGTTGTGGCTATAATTTTTCTAAATGTTGTTTTTCGGGTACTATTTTGCTTGTTTTAGCTTTAACAACTCCGTTCCAGCTTCTTCAGCAAATTTCAGTGAAGTCATTCAGCTCTCTCCATTCACACTGAATTATCGAAGAAAGAAGATAAAACTTTATTGATCCTGCAGGAAATTGTTGTACCAGAGTTTCAATGCAAAAGAATATACACAAGGAATCACACAAGATATATAAAAAAAAAACAGATTATAGAAATACCAACAATTAAATTCTAAAACAGGTCAGGTGCAGATAGAAACATTAAAATGTTTATTGTAGATTCATTTTATTGTCCTATTTGTAGAAAGGAGAAGAATAGAAAAGTTTGATAGCCACAGGAAGAAAGGACTTCCTGTGGCATTCTGTGGAACACCTCGGTGGTCTCCGATAAAAGAGAAATGACGATTTATTTATTTTTTAACGATGTAGCTGACGGTATAGGAAACTGGTCCAGTTTAAAATAAAACTTGAGTTTTCTGTCCTTTTATGGCCCATCTGTGTTTGGTCGGTCTGTGTGAGGAAGCCTGGAGATATTACAGGCAGGTTTGTAGATAGTCTAGAAATAGCAGCTGTCACTCAGTCGCAGCTTATCAGCGAACTACACACAGGATGTTTTTGTGCCTGAGTCACTGCTGTCAGAGGAACGGTCCCTTCACCCTATAGTTGTTACAGACGATGGATAGTGGACAGTGAGAACAGGGCTGGATACATTTGCCCAATAACTGAGTTCATGCAGAAGCTGAGTTTTAGAACTCATGATTTCCTCAAAATGTTGAGTATGATCATTTATGCTTGCACAGACTCCCTCTGTGTTTTCTTTGATAAGGGTTTAAACTCGGATCATCTACTAAAATGACGTTTCATTGCAGTTCTACTCCAAAAACAATGACTCTGTTGTTACGACTCTTATGAAGCCCAAAAAGAAACAAGGCACCAAGTCAGCTGAGGTGGAGCTCTCCAAAAGTAAGCTCAGAGTTCATTTCTGGACATCTTTGTTCTTTGGTTTGCTCTAAAACGATGGCGTTACAACAAAGACAGTGAAGATGAGTATTCATTCTGTACCTGTTTGTTTTCTCCAGCTGGGTGGCTGCTGGACATCACAAAACTCACCCTGGGAGAAAACATAGGAGAAGGGGAGTATGGCGGTAAGTTTAGTTTTCATGTTTTCTTATTTAAACAGTTTAGTCACCCCCCAAACTTTTACTCTGTTAACAAAGACCACAGTTTGTTTAATATTTTATGATTTTAAAATGACTAAATAGAGAAAAGGCAGCACTTTAAACTGACAACATCTGTAGAAACTATAGAACATAAACATAATACAGTAATCTTGTTTAAAACAATGCCTTGAGGTGATCAAGTACTTTTGGGAGAAATGCCTTTGGGAGATAAAGTTAGAGAGGCCAGACTGAGATGGTTTGGACATGTCCAGAGGGACAGTGGGTATACTGGTAGAAGGATGTTAGAAATGCAGCTGCCAGGAAGAAGACAAACTGGAGATACAGTATATGGATGCAGTTATAGAGGACATGGAGGTAGTTGGAGTGAGGACAGAGGATGCAGAGGACAGAGTGAGGTGGAGGAGGATGACTCACTGTGGAGACCCCTGAAGAGGAAAAAGCAAGAAGAAGAAGAAAGATGACGAAGTGATCAAATAAACATTTTTCAGTCAGGTCATCTGAACAGTTTCTTTTTTTTTTGTGCTGAAACGTTTCACCTTCGGTCTGGAAGGCTTCATCAGTCAAGGAAACGCAACAAAACTGATTCTTCCCCCAACAGCTTACTCCAAAGTGGAACAAACCAGTTCTGCTGGTGATAAGATGGTCTCTTTGGTACTCCCCCTTCTCCATTGCTGGCCCTCTTCCTTGTTGACAGTCTTGTCAAACTGGTTGAAAACAAAGTCCTTGTGTACCTGGATTATTGAGCATGGACTTTGTGGTTTTCAACCAGTTTGACAAGACTGTCAACAAGGAAGAGGGCCAGCAATGGAGGAGGAGACGTACCAAAGAGACCATCTTATCACAAGCAGAACTGGTTTGTTCCACTTTGGAGTAAGCTGTTGGAAGAAGAATCAGTTTTGTTGTGTTTCCTTGACTGATGAAGCCTTCCGGATCGAAGGCGAAACGTTTCAGCACAAAAAAAAGAAACCGTCCAGATGACCAGACTGAAAAATGTTGGATTGTATACCTGGATTATTGAGCATGGACTATGAAGTGATCAAATACTTTTCATTTGACTTTAAAATTCACAATATTATTCTTGGCCAGTTGCACTCAAACCTTCTTTTGCTGCTGTTGTCTAATATAAAAGTGTCGGCACAAGAAGTGCATTTGAAGCCACGAGGAAGAGTGATTTGCTGGATAAACACCATCTGCGTTTCTCCACTCTTCAGCTGTTTATCAGGGGGAGTACATGGACCAAAAGGTGGCGGTAAAGATCATTAAATGTGACGTGAGGGCTCAGGCCTTCCTGCAGGAGACTGCAGTCATGACGTGAGTCCTGAAACACCAACAGTATAATTACACACTCTTACAGTTTGCTGAAAATAAAATAAATAAACAAGCTTGAAGGTATAATTAGACTGTTTGATTTATTTAATTTTTCTTGCTCTTAATCTGGACTTTGTGGATTTCTGCTCAGGAAGCTGCAGCACAAAAACTTGGTTCGGTTGTTGGGCGTCATCCTTCACAAAGGGCTCCACATCGTCACAGAGCTCATGACCAAGGTAATTAAATGAGGCTTTTTAAATAAGAAGTACACTTACCCTGTACTTTACCGGAAAATATATAAAAATATGATATAGAAAACAGACCAATATTCCTTATGAGTTCATATCACCTGCTGCTTTTCATACCAGAGTGTTAGACTAAGATCAGCTTATGTTGAGAAGTGATGGTTATAGACATTTAAGTCAAACCTTGAAGTTAATGTTATGTGCAATCTCATGCAATATCGTTATGGCTGTTAATAATTAAATAAAATAGGAAAATGTGGTGGTGCCAAAAATCAGCCTAATTTCAGTTTCTCTCCAATTAAATGAAAAATAGTTGGTTTTGGCTTCAAATCATGTTTGATCTATTTTTAAACTGACCTGTCTGGATGTTGCAGGGCAACCTGGGTAATTTTCTCAGGACAAGAGGTCGTTCAGTCATCAACTCCGTTCAGCTGCTCCGCTTCGCTCTGTGAGTCTCATTATAATAGCTGTGTGCAGCACATTTAACAAGAGAAAACGTAGAATGAACAGCGTGGGCCTCTGTCTGCGTGTCTGTGCTCAGTGACGTGTGCGAAGGGATGGAGTACCTGGAGTCGAAGAAGCTGGTCCACAGAGACCTGGCGGCTCGAAACGTTTTGGTTTCTGACAACAGCGTGGCCAAAGTCAGCGACTTTGGGCTGACCAAAGTGGACTCCAAGGAGTCGGACAAAGCCAAGTTGCCCATTAAATGGACCGCTCCCGAAGCTCTGAAGAAAGAGGTGCGTTTCGAAAAGGAAACGCTATGCCACCTTTCTTTTCCTCCCACCTATTTCATTATTTATATTTTTAATACCCCTGAATAAAGGCAGAAGTATTATGGCATAATCTGTCAACTTTCTCATGTCCCACTCAAGATTCCTGATCCACTTAAGATAATTTAGTGAAACTTCATACACACATGCATCATCTCATACACTTTTCATCCCCCCAGCTCTAAAGTCAAGGTCTCAAATCAAGGTCAAAGTTTACACATGGTTGTAGCCAGTCTGGGTCATTGCTAAAGATTGCTGTATGGCTATGTAATAAGTTGTCGATGGGCGTATAATGTGCCGTATGTGCTACACTTGTTTAAAGTACACTCAACGGACTGATCATACTTATTAATATTTCATCTGCTTAATCCCATCCTGCAGAAATTCTCAACAAAGTCAGACGTTTGGAGCTTTGGTGTCCTCCTGTGGGAGATCTTCTCATACGGTCGCCAGCCGTACCCTAAGATGGTATGTTGCACCTCTTCTAGAGGCATGTGTGAACAGCAGACATGTGAGAGCCTCAAGTCTCGACAAATCAATCGCTTGGAAAATTAAAATGTGTTTAAACCTTCAAAATGTTAAACGTGTTGCATTTCTTTAGTCATCCGTCTTTATTGGTCCAGATCAGGTCAGTCATCAGGTAATCATTTCAAGCAAACTTCAACAGAGGAAAAGAAAATGTTGAGGTGTTGCAGACGTCATTCTGACTATAGCTGGATCCCAACAGAGCTGCACAAGGCCTAAAAAAACAAACTGAGTTGAAACTATTCCAACTTTATGTAAGAGCTTCACAAGGTAATAATAACATGATTATGTGAGTTTTCTGCAGTTTAAAGGTGGTTGAACAAGTTATTCTGTGGTTTTCTTACACTGTACTTAAGCATTTTAGCTTGGTTATCATCTGCTGCCAAAAGGAGAAAGGCAGGTGTTAATATATTTGTTTGTGTTTGTGTTCATGGGTTCATCTGCCTGTCTGTTGTCACAGTGTCTCCTGAACCATGGGGCAGATCTTAATGAAGCTTTCAGGAAGTAATCGATGGATGTATATTTAAAGCTGATTAACATGTGGAGCCAACCTCATTCAAGATGGCCTCCACAGCCAACAATTGTGTGTTTTTATAGTATTATGATATTCATCTTTAAGACCTGGTAAAGAGCAGTTCAGAAGTTATTAGACCCTGAGAGTGAGAGGATTTTCTTGTATTTTTATTTAATTTTTTTTACTAAAACTGTGGGGGTAGTGGGTTAAACAAAGTTTGAAGAAGATGAATTCAGATCAGGCCTTGATCATGTTGGCTGTAATACAAAGAAGTGGACATCTCTGCTGGTCTCAGTAGTGTCCCAGGTAATCTCTGTGTTACTGATCCTTGAGGTTCCTGGACCATCAGGATCAGGTTGCATTAGTTGATGGGACAGTTGGGACCACATGTCCTCTTGGTCTGTTTGCACTTTGCTTTATTTGGTGTCCTTTTTTAATTTATTTAAGGCATTCCCCTCAATTAAACTTCATACTTTAATGACCTGATTGCATGCTCGATCATCCAGGTACATAAACCTAACAAGGTTGAGTCAGGTCTTCTGGACGGATTCTTCTTTGTTGAAACATTTTGTCTTTTATCCAAAAGACTTCTTCCAAAGAAAACAAGAAGTCTTTTGGATAAAAGATGAAACATTTCAACAAAGAAGAATTCATCCAGAGGACTTGACTCAACCTTGTTACAGTGGTGCTTGAAAGTTTGTGAACCTGTTTATAATTTTCTATATTTCTGCATAAATATGACCTAAAACATCATCAGATTTTCACACAAGTCCTAAAAGTAGATAAAGAGAACCCAGTTAAACAAATGAGACAAAATATTATACTTCGCCATTTATTTATTGAGAAAATGATCCAATATAGGGCAGCACGGTGGCACAACTGGTAGAGCTGCTGCCTCTCAGCGAGCAGGTCCTTGGTTCAAATCCCGGTTCAGAGGCCCTTCTGGGTGGAGTTTGCAAGTTCTCTCTTTGCATGTGTGGGTTTTCTCTGGGTGCTCCGGTTTCCTCCCACAGACCAAAAACATGCATGTTAGGCTGATTGGCAACTCTAAATTGTCCCTAGATGTGAATGAGAGAGTGAATGGTTGTTTGTCTCGTTTGTCTCTATGTGGCCCTGTGATGGACTTACGACCCGTCCAGGGTGTACCCCGCCCCTCGCACAGTGATAGCTGGACATGGGCACCAGCGACCCCTGTGACCCAAAATGGAATAAACGGGTAAAGATAATGGATGGATGGATGGATCATTTTCCTCAATAAATAAATTACCAAGTATAATATTTTTGTCTCATTTGTTTAACTGAGTTCTCTTTATACTTTTAGGACTTGTGTGAAAATCTGATGATGTTTAGGTCATATTTATGCAGAAATATAAAAAAATTAAAGGGTTCACAAACTTTCAAGCACCACTGTATGTTCAGACTTTAATAAGTTCCCTGTTGGAATAGAAACTAAACATCTCACCAAGAAGATGTGACTTTACAGATTCAACAACCCTTGTTATAAAAAACATTTCAAAATGTGACCAAATTAATCACAACACACACTTACCAGTGAGTTTTAATAGTAAATTATTGCAAAAAAAAAAGTTAACTTAAAATTTTAGATTGTTGATTTATCCTATTTGTTCTGTTCTTGTAGTCTTTGAAGGACGTGAAGGAGAATGTGGAGGGAGGTTATCGGATGGATGCTCCAGACGACTGTCCTGCGGAGGTTTACACCCTCATGAGGCTCTGCTGGGAGCAGGAACCTCGCAGGAGACCCGGATTTTCCAAACTAAGAGAGAAACTCGAACAGGAAATGGTTAAACGGAGCCCTCGACCAGAGGCAAAGCATCGAGAAGGAATGGGGTCTGGATCTAGAAGCTAGATAATTCTTTTCTTCAAACAGTAGGAAGGAAGAGCCCGCTCTTGTTGGGCCTGAACAAACACTGAACCCATGTTGGAGGACTAAAAGTTTCCCCCGAAGGATAAACAGACTTTTAATTCAGTGAACGAATAAAGACTGACTATTGGACTCTGGGGCAGCACGGTGGCGCAACTGGTAGAGCTGCTGCCTCTCAGCGAGCAGGTCCTTGGTTCAAACCCCGGTCCAGGGGCCTTCTGGGTGGAGTTTGCATGTTCTCTCCGTGCATGCGTGGGTTTTCTCCGGGTACTCCGGCTTCCTCCCACAGACCAAAAACATGCATGTTAGGCTGATTGGTAACTCTAAATTGTCCCTAGGTGTGAGTGAGAGAGTGAATGGTTGTTTGTCTTGTTTGTCTCTATGTGGCCCTGTGATGGACTTGCGACCCGTCCAGGGTGTACCCCGCCCCTCGCACAGTGATTGCTGGACATGGGCACCAGCGACCCCCGTGACCCAAAATGGAATAAGCGGGTAAAGATAATGGATGGATGGATATTGGACTCTGGTCATCCTGTGGAACCAGAGAGAAGAATACCTGAGGCCAAAAATGTCTCAAACTTTTGTTTTTGGTCGGCACAACAGCAAAACCAACAAACAAACATCTACATGATTCAAACTGATGCATGGTCACAGACACTTTTTGTGCCGTAACTTGACTGTGGATTGATTAAGGTGCACCGCAGAGTAATACGACACTTACATGTGCATAAATGCAGGGATTTTGCAAACTGATTATTTTTTTCTAAAATAAAAGCATCTTTTTGGTCTCTGAGAACACCGTTGTTCTCAGAAAAGGTCGTCTTTAGGGTTTTATACGTATTTTCTAAAACAAAACAACAAATTGCACATTTTTGTCCAACAGAACCTGCTCGGCAGGCTTTGATTCAATTCATCCAAATTTAATTCCTGGTATGAGGGGAAAATATCGTGCTTAATATTTTTTCTTTGCTTGTTTATATTAAGATTATTTGAGTGATTTGTGTGATCCACCATCCTCCTGGGATGTCTTGGGCCTTTGTTTTTTTGGTCCTACACAATTTAGTGCCTGGAAAAAACAACTTTTTATTTACTACAATAGACATATTGTTCAGCTGTATTTTATTTTTGGGCAATTTAAAAATGTGTTTTAATTTTATTTAGTAATGCTACAATACATTTTTACTTTAAATCACAGCACAAAATGAAGCTTCTTCATAGGATTGTTGTCATGTCACAAGACTAAATTAAAAATGTCATTTGACATAAGTCTGCGTAAGCCCGGTGTTTATCGGTACCCCCAGAGATGGAGCACAAATTGCAGCCTGAGCCTCCGGCTTTTGTTATTAGACAGTCAGAGCAAAGGCCCACAACAATTTGTTCAATCTGCTCCATGTTTTGTCTGAAGCCTCTAATGGGATGAGCAGCAATTTTCTGCAGGGACTTAGGATAAATATACGTCGAGAGAAAAAAACAAACAAATGTGGTTCCTTTGCAGTATCAGCATCGCTGGACGTTCCCTCCGCTCCGGTTTGTGCATTAGTGTAGATGGATAACGGGACAAAGCCTTCACCCATATGTTGAGGAGTGTGCTGAGATGCTTTTCTTGGAGGCTCTAATTCCTTCAGGTGCGCTTTCTACTAAGAATTAGAAAACAGCTAATCTGCTGAAGTGGCAGCAGGTTTTACCAAACAATGACGTGTCACCTGTTCCTTTCACCGGTTTCCAAGGAGAGAGGTTGCAGGAAAACGTACAGCCGCCTCCTCTGCACCCCTAAAGTTCTTATGTCGGCTCCAGTTTTAGGATGCGCCAGGTGTTTTTGACTGCAACACTCATTTAATAAAAAAAATAAAATAAAATACAGGCAATGCATGCAGGTAATATAATCTAAGCTGGGTTTAGAATTAATTCTTTTTTTTTTTTTTGCTTAAAATTTCAACTTAAAAACAAAACTGTGTGTCTTAACTTTCTAGTTGCACAAACTCTTTTAACCGCTGCAGACTGTATATACGGCGCATGCTTTTGGGCCCATGATCTCACATTGCTGTGTGTAAATACACAAGCAGCTTTCTGTAAGTGTTTGCTCCAGTCCAAGTTTAGCCCGTGCTGCTGCTGCACCTGGCAGCATGTGCAGCAGTGTGTAAATGAATGGTTTGACCATTATCTAGGTGTGGTTTAAGTAGATTTCAGTCAGTTCAGATGAAGTCAGAAACTTCTTGCCTGAGCCAATTTAGCTATCAGACATAAGATGCTCTTCCTTGAAGGCTCCAGCTTTTAAGTAGCAGCTCCTCTCTGGGCTGTTTACCTGCAGGTATTACCTTTAAGTCATTAAAGGCAAAAGTCCAACGGTGTGAAACCGGGTGCTTTTGTGGACCTGAGTGGATTGCAGCTACTGGTGATTTTCCTTGTAAAAAGTTGGGGCACAAGTCTTCGAGTTACAACTCACTTGCATTGTATTTTGTTTCCAATGAGCTAAACTTTCCTGCATTTTTTTTTTTTTAATTGGTCAAATGTTTTTATGTTTTAAAGTTTGTCTTTGATGACCCAAAGAACATTTTTTTAAACCAGAAGGTTAAAGAAAGCTGAAAATGTACTTGTTAAAACTTGTTTATTTCTTCTTCTCATAATTGTAAAAGATAACTTTCAAATACCATTTGTTTGCTGTAGATTGTTTTCCTTATGACTGACACCTTTTGTCCTCCACTTGTCCACTTTCCTCATTTTTTTAAGCACAGACTTTACAATAGTGTACAGCATTACTGTCAGGTGTTATCAGGACGGAAAATTTAAATATAAACTTCTCAAAGAGCTTGAGAAAACCTGGACAACCACTGGTTGATAGATACCAATTTATATTAATATACCTAGGGGCTGAGATGGTGCAGGCAGAGCAGCCGACTCGGGACTTGAAGGTCCCCGGTCATTGCACATCTCGTGGTGTCTGAGCGGGACACCCAATCCCAAAGTGCTCCCCAGGCACCTACATAGCTGCCCACTGCTCCACCTGGGTGCATCCCAGGTGCGATGGAGTAAATGCAGTGAGCCAATTTCGTCTTTGTAAGGGAATATACAATGATGACAACACATAGCACATTATTTATTTATTATTAAAAGTTAAACATTTTATTTAGGTTTTTTCTCGTATTAAAAAATCATTCATTTATTTATACAGGTTAGTCTCATTGAACCTCGAGGACTCATTTACAAGAGAGACCTGTTTTAAACAAACACAGATGACATCAGTAGACGATGATAAAATGAAAAGTAAATAGAAGAAATGAAATAAAAACTAAACAAAAACAGCTACATTATAAAGCGATATAAAATATTAAATACAGGAACATGTCTGTGTTGGTTTTGGCCATGAACTTAACAGTTGTTTAAAATCCCTTAGAGAGGTCAAAGTTGACAACTTCAGATCTTTTTGTAAGGTGTTCCAGGAAACGGGAGCAGAGTAAGAGAAGGCCCTTTTGCCTAGTTCAGTCCACACTGAGGGAACACTGCATGTAATGATGTCCCGAGAGTGCACGCTGTAGCTGCACTCACGCAGAGACATGTAGGAGGAGATGTAGGAAGGCAGCCGGCCAAGAAGTGATTTAAAAATGGAAATGTACCAGTGGGAGAGTCTGTGTGAAGTTAACGATGACCAGTTAACCAGTGAATACAGGGTGCTGTGGTGGGTACGGTATTACAGCCAGTTATGAATCTTAGTGCACAATGATAGGCAGCATCCAACATCTGCAGAGTTCTTGTAGGAGTGTTCATGTAAATAATATCACTGTAGTCAATGGAGGGGAGGAAAGTCGCAGTTACAAGGAGTTTCCTAGCGTTCAGTTAAACAGGATCTATTACTAAAAGATAAACCCAGTTTTACTTTCACCAAAGTCCATGCTCAACAATCCAGGTATAAAATCCATCAGTCAGGTCATCTGGACGGTTTCTTTCAATTTCTTTACTAAGTTTTTGACATGAGGCTTAAAAGAGAGATGCGAATCGACCAAAATACCTAAATATTTATAAAAAATCGACAAACTCAATAGAGACACACCATTCACAGATAAGATAGAAGGAAGGACTGCTGGCACCAACTTCCTGTTTGAAAACATCTCTTTGGTTTTATCAGCATTTAGCACCAGTTTAAGACGGGACAAATCTGACTGGATGATGTTGATGCAGACTGTAAAAGCTGGAAAACCTTAGCAACTGTTCTAGCTCGACAATAAACTACTGTGTCGTCAGAAATTGTCACATTTGTTCGGGCTTCTTTCCTGCACTTCACTCAGTCCTATGCATTTTTGATGTATTAGCAAAAAAAACCAAGCTAACCTTTGTGGAAATGAATAAAATCAGATTTTGATGAAGAGCTTATTTTCCCCTCACTAGTCTATGGGCAAGCTGTTTCGTATGAAACCAGACTGTGATGCTGCTTTAAAGCTTAATAAATAAGTTTGGATCCCTCAAACTAAAGTATAAAGAAAAAGGAGGTGCTTTAAATATTTCTGCACAATACTACTTTAATTCTGTTCATTCTCAGTAACTTAAATCATGTCTGTGTCTTTCCTGAACCATGAAAACTTAAACTAGTTCCCTGTTGTACAGCAACTAGTCTGGCATTTTGATTTACAAAATTCAGATAAGAACATAAGTTTAACAATGACACATTAAGTTCTCCACTATATGACCAACACCTCAGACTTCTGATCTGCATTTCCACAACAGAATCCTCCTCAGGACATTAGTCATGCACTCTCTGCTCTGATCACAGAACAATGATTTGATCAAGACCATTTTTGTTTTTCAGATCATCCAGGTGTTTGATTTGACCATAAAGTCACTGCAGCTCCGGTGAACAGTGTGAGGAGGTCAGGTGTAGCACAGAGTCTACGACCTGTGGATTGTCACCTCTGGAGCTTCTTTGCTTCGCCGTGTTTTGTCACCACAGTTTCTGCTGTCATTTTTTGTTGATTTTAATGAATTACCAGAAGGTTTGAGAAATATTCCAGCTCTGA